GAGTGGATGGTTTGTGGTTAGCAGAAAGTTGAGTGTGATGGTGTGGTTGGGAGAGAAGCGTTGCGTATGGGTAATTTGAGTTGGGTGTAAGGAGCAGATGGGTGCGTGGTTGGACGGCAATTCGTTGGGAAAGGAGGGGGCAGGAGTTAGCCGTGATGAGAGGTGGTTGGGTTTGTGGAATGTTGCGAAGAGGTCGGCGAGACGAATGCTGCCGCTATTCAAGGGCGTTCAGGAAATACCTAGGCGTGTCGAGAGTCGTGTTGGTGAGGGTGGAGTGGATGGTTTGTGGTTAGCAGAAGGTCGAGCGTGATGGTGTGGTTGGGAGAGAAGCGTTGCGTATGGGTAATTTGAGTTGGATGGAAGGAGCAGATGGATGCGTGGTTGGACGGAGGTTCGTTGGGAAAGGAAGGGGCAGGAGTTAGGCGTGATGAGAGGTGGTTGGGTTTGTGGAATGTTGCGAAGAGGTCGGCGAGACGAATGCTGCCGCTATTCAAGGGCGTTCAGGAAATACGTAGGCGTGTCGAGAGTCGTGTTGGTGAGGGTGGAGTGGATGGTTTGTGGTTAGCAGAAGGTCGAGCGTGATGGTGTGGTTGGGAGAGAAGCGTTGCGTATGGGTAATTTGAGTTGGATGGAAGGAGCAGATGGGTGCGTGGTTGGACGGAGGTTCGTTGGGAAAGGAAGGGGCAGGAGTTAGGCGTGATGAGAGGTGGTTGGGTTTGTGGAATGTTGCGGAGAGCTCGACGAAGGGAGTGTAGGCATTGTTTATGGGCGTGCAGCAAGTGCGTAGTTGAGGCGTCAGCTGTGTTTGTGAGGGTGGAGTGGATGGTTGGTGGTTAGTAGACGTGTGAGTGTGATGGTGTGGTTGGGAGAGAAGCGTTGCGTATGGGTAATTTGAGTTGAGTGTAAGGAGCAGATGGGTGCGTGGTTGGACGGCAGTTCGTTGGGAAAGGAAGGGGCAGGAGTTAGGCGTGATGACAGGTGGTTGGGTTTGTGGAATGTTGCGGAGAGCTCGACGAAGGGAGTGTAGGCATTGTTTATGGGCGTGCAGCAAGTGCGTAGTTGAGGCGTCAGCTGTGTTTGTGAGGGTGGAGTGGATGGTTTGTGGTTAGCAGAAGGTTGAGCGTGATGGTGTGGTTGGGAGAGAAGCGTTGCGTATGGGTAATTTGAGTTGGGTGGAAGGAGCAGATGGGTGCGTGGTTGGACGGCAATTCGTTGGGAAAGGAGGGGGCAGGAGTTAGGCGTGATGAGAGGTGGTTGAGTTCGCGGAATGTTGCGAAGAGGTCGGCGAGACGAATGCTGCTCTATTTAGGGCGTTCAGGAAGTGCGTAATTGAGGCGAGAGTTGTGTTGGTGAGGGTGGAGTGGATGGTTTGTGGTTAGCAGAAGGTTGAGTGTGATGGTGTGGTTGGGAGAGAAGCGTTGCGTATGGGTAATTTGAGTTGGGTGGAAGGAGCAGATGGGTGCGTGGTTGGACGGCAGTTCGTTGGGAAAGGAAGGGGCAGGAGTTAGGCGTGATGAGAGGTGGTTGGGTTTGTGGAATGTTGCGGAGAGCTCGACGAAGGGAGTGTAGGCATTGTTTATGGGCGTGCAGCAAGTGCGTAGTTGAGGCGTCAGCTGTGTTTGTGAGGGTGGAGTGGATGGTTGGTGGTTAGTAGACGTGTGAGTGTGATGGTGTGGTTGGGAGAGAAGCGTTGCGTATGGGTAATTTGAGTTGGGTGGAAGGAGCAGATGGGTGCGTGGTTGGACGGCAGTTCGTTGGGAAAGGAAGGAGCAGGAGTTAGCCGTGATGAGAGGTGGTTGGGTTTGTGGAATGTTGCGAAGCGGTCGGCGAGACGAATGCTGCTCTATTTTAGGGCGTTCAGGAAGTGCGTAATTGAGGCGAGAGTTGTGTTGGTGAGGGTGGAGTGGATGGTTTGTGGTTAGCAGAAGGTTGAGTGTGATGGTGTGGTTGGGAGAGAAGCGTTGCGTATGGGTAATTTGAGTTGGGTGGAAGGAGCAGATGGGTGCGTGGTTGGACGGCAGTTCGTTGGGAAAGGAAGGAGCAGGAGTTAGCCGTGATGAGAGGTGGTTGGGTTCGTGGAATGTTGCGAAGAGGTCGGCGAGACGAATGCTGGTGCTATTTAAGGGCGTTCAGGAAGTACGTAGGCGTGTCGAGAGTTGTGTTGGTGAGGGTGGAGTGGATGGTTTGTGGTTAGCAGAAGGTTGAGTGTGATGGTGTGGTTGGGAGAGAAGCGTTGCGTATGGGTAATTTGAGTTGGGTGGAAGGAGCAGATGGGTGCGTGGTTGGACGGAGGTTCGTTGGGAAAGGAAGGGGCAGGAGTTAGGCGTGATGAGAGGTGGTTGGGTTTGTGGAATGTTGCGGAGAGCTCGACGAAGGGAGTGTAGGCATTGTTTATGGGCGTGCAGCAAGTGCGTAGTTGAGGCGTCAGCTGTGTTTGTGAGGGTGCAGTGGATGGTTGGTGGTTAGTAGAAGTGTGAGGGTGATGGTGTGGTTGGGAGAGAAGCGTTGCGTATGGGTAATTTGAGTTGAGTGTAAGGAGCAGATGGGTGCGTGGTTGGACGGCAGTTCGTTGGGAAAGGAAGGGGCAGGAGTTAGGCGTGATGAGAGGTGGTTGGGTTTGTGGAATGTTGCGGAGAGCTCGACGAAGGGAGTGTAGGCATTGTTTATGGGCGTGCAGCAAGTGCGTAGTTGAGGCGTCAGCTGTGTTTGTGAGGGTGGAGTGGATGGTTTGTGGTTAGCAGAAGGTTGAGTGTGATGGTGTGGTTGGGAGAGAAGCGTTGCGTATGGGTAATTTGAGTTGGATGGAAGGAGCAGATGGGTGCGTGGTTGGACGGAGGTTCGTTGGGAAAGGAAGGGGCAGGAGTTAGGCGTGATGAGAGGTGGTTGGGTTTGTGGAATGTTGCGGAGAGCTCGACGAAGGGAGTGTAGGCATTGTTTATGGGCGTGCAGCAAGTGCGTAGTTGAGGCGTCAGCTGTGTTTGTGAGGGTGCAGTGGATGGTTTGCGGTTAGTAAATGCGCGGCTGTGATGGTGAGGTTGGGAAAGAAGCTTTGCGCATAGGTTATTCCAGTTGGGTGTAAGGAGCAGATGGGTGCGTGGTTGGACGGAGGTTCGTTGGGAAAGGAAGGGGCAGGAGTTAGCCGTGATGAGAGGTGGTTGGGTTTGTGGAATGTTGCGAAGAGGTCGGCGAGACGAAAGCTGCCGCTATTTTAGGGCGTTCAGGAAGTACGTAGGCGTGTCGAGAGTCGTGTTGGTGAGGGTGGAGTGGATGGTTTGTGGT